CAGACCATCTGACAGCCCAGCCCGCCCTCTCCCGGGGCTGCCTGGGGAGGCAGCTTATGCTCGCTCCGGCTGGCACAGCGGCTGGGGCTGTTCCGGGGCATGGAAGATTCCCAGTCACCCACTCAGAAAGCCTGGAGTCATCGGACACCTTGCTGGTCAGAGGTCCTGGGGGTGGTTTTGAACCGTCAGAGCTTGGACTTAGATTCTGACTTCCCCAGCAAGGATCTTCCCACTTCCTGCTCCCTGTGTTCCCACCCTCCAGTGTTGGCACAGGCCCACCCCGGCCCCACCAGAGCCAGAAGCAGAGGTGGAATCAGGCGGGCCCCGGGCTGCACTCCGAGCCGTGTTCCTGGCCGTCTTCGCTACTTTCCTAGAGAACCCGGCTGTTGCCTTAAATGTGTGAGAGGGACTTGGCCAAGGCAAAAGCTGGGGAGACGCCAGTGACAACTTTCAGTTCATGACTAGATTTAGGAATTGGGCACTGAGAAAATTCTCCGTATTTCAGAGAGACCTTCCCTTGTTTGGGGCTCCGAACACGGCATCCCCGCTGGTTGGTTTTAAGGGAAACACTGTACTCCTGGGTGTGGGCAGAGGCTCTGGTCTTGCCCCTGTGGTTTGACTCTCCTTAGAACCACCACCCACCAGAAATACAAAGCATTAAAATCACACTAATAACCCCCGAGGGTCAATCTGATAATAGGATCAGATTTACATCTACCCTAGTTCTTAACATTTCAGCTTTCTCTCCATCTGCAGGTTATTCCCAGTCTCCCAGTAACACGTTGCTACCCAGACCCTTTTCATTTCCTTAAGTTTTGATCTCCGTCTTCCTGCTGAAGCAGGCAGAGCTCAGAGGATCTTGGCATCACCCACCAAAGTTAGCTGAAAGCAGGGCACTCCTAGGTAAAGCAGCTTCACTGAACTCTGGGGAATGGTGCCATTTTTTTCCAAGGTAGAAAGGAAGCACTTCTGAGCCAGTGACCACTGAAAGGTGCGCGCTATGATAACGCAGATGGCCTGTTCGAGGAAGAGGGTGTCTGTGCTTCACAAACACCTCTCTCCCCCCTGCACTAGCCGTCCCAAGCTTACATACAGAGGCCCTTCAGGAGGGCCTCCGCGCCACAGGGAGGGTGCGTGGGGAGGATGCTTCCTGCCAGCACATGCCTGAAGGTTTCGCGTGAAGCATGGGAACCACCCCATCGTTCAGTGACGTCATTCTTCTCCAGGCTGGCTGGCCCCCTCTGACTAGGCACCCAAAGTGAGCATCTGGGCATCGGGTATTTGCACTTATCTTCCCCCACCTTCTCCATGGCATCTCAGTTCCAGCAGGCATCCCTGGGGCAGGCCTGCTTTGGCTCAAGATGGTCTTCATTTACGTTTAGCTTTTTTCAAAATCGTGGAGGTTGCCCACGGGCCTCGGCACCCGGCCCTGGCAGCACAGCTCTCTCAGGCCCAGCCCTGGGCGACCTCCTTGGCCAAGGCTGCCTTTCACCCTGGGGTGGGCGTCAGTCCTGGCTCTGCCGGTCCAGATCTTGCACTCAGCACACTCTAGGGAATAATTCCACTCCAAAGACAGGGCTGCTTCGAGGTCTTTTTCCAGCTGACTGTGGCCCCTCCATTTTCCCCATTTTCTTACCACTCCGACCAAAATTGCTTTGACTTCTAAATGTTTCTGCTTCCCAGAATGCACCTGGCTTGTGAAACGGGGATGATACTCCCAGGAAATAGTGCAGGACATCACAAGGACCCAAAAGGCAATTCTTACTTAAATGTGATGTTTGGCCAGCTGCTGCTGTATTTTATGGCAGTGTTCAGAGCTTGATCACCTTATTTCTTCCTTTTATTAAGAAGGAAGCCAATTGTCCAAGTCAGGAGAATGGTGTGATCACCTGTCACAGACACTTCATTCCCTCTCCCCGCCCCTTCCCAGAGCTGGCAGAGCTAACGCCCTGCAGGAGGACCCCGGCCTCTCGAGGGCTGGATCAGCAGCCGCCTGCCTCGAGGCTGCCCTGGTGAATGTTGCTGGAATTCATCCCTCGTGCACATCCTGTTGTGTTTAAGTCACCAGATATTTTGTTCCCATCAGTTTAGCCCAGAGATAGACAGTAGAATGCGAATACCTCCCTCCCGTAAACTGACTGGACGGCTGCCAAGGAGGCCCCAAACCCAGCCCCATGCAGAGGCACGTGGTTTCCTGTTCTCCTCTCTCTGCATCTGCCCTTTCCAGATAAGCCCAAAGACAACAACTTCTCCACTCGTGACAAATCAACTGTGAGCCTCGCTCCTTCCATTTCTGTCCATTAGAAACCAGCCTTTTCAGCACCTCACCCGTTAGCCACCCCGCCACCCAGCGATCAGGCGCCTCAGTAAGGCAGATCCGCGGATGGGGAGCCTGCCGGTGGCCAGAGGTGGTGTTTGTGTTTGTCTCCAGCTCGGTGTTCCATGGCTCCTAGGCGAGGTGATCAGGGAGTGGGGCCAGTGGGTCCCCGGCCCTGGCTGTGGGACCTTGTGCTGAGGGATGATTTGCTGCTGACCTTGATTAACTTCACAGTTCCCAGCTGGAAGGGACACTGTCTGGACCCAGTCCACTGTATGGCATTGGTGATGCAGAATTATGCACTGACATGACCCTGGGTGACAGGAAAGCCTTTCGAGAGGCCCACGGTGGCCTCGCCAGCCCTGCAGTGTTGATGTGCCGTATTGCCCCACGGCTCTGCAGACCTTGGCCATTGCCGCAGTCAGCTTCCTTTTTTCTGTTTGCACTGTTTGTATGATGTTAGCTAATTCCACTGTGTATATAAATTGTATTTTTTTTAATTTGTAAAATGCTATTTTTATTTGAACCTTTGGAACTTGGGAGTTCTCATTGTAACCCTAACATGTCAGAATAAAATGTCTTCTGTCTCCTTTAGCCTCTTGTCTCCATGCTGCTCTTTCTTTCAAGGGATAGTTGGGTTGTATTTTACTCCCCCTCTTTCTGATGTGTGAAAATTACACTAGGACATAGTTTCCGAGTCTCAGAGCTCTCCCTGTGCAGCTGGGCAGGGGGGCTCTTCATTCATGGGGGTCCACTTCTCTGTACTAGGCAGCGACCTTAATGAGAACGGATTTCATCCTGTGGCTCTTAGCAGAAGTCACCGATGTCTGTTTCTCCCTTCAGATGAACACTTCCTGATCCTCTCTGGAAATCATCTCCTGCTAGCAGCCGCGTCCCGGAGCAGCGGATGGGGAATCCATTCCGTTTCTTCATGGTGTTTAGGAATTTGCCCCACCAAACAGATTGCCCTGATGTCCAACCCGAAGAAGTGAAACTGCTGTGGGTCTGGAGAGGTGAAGCCCCGTAGCCAGCTTCTGTCACCGCCATCTGCCATTGCTTTTTGTTCCCTTGCTTTTGGTTTTGCAAGAAGCATGGCCTCTGTCTCTGTCTGATCTGCTTCAAGTCATCATTCCATAGTGACAGAAGTGGCCATTCCATCAGTGGTCGCAGCCAGTTCAGCTCCTGCACCTATCCCCACGTGTTCTGTAAGTCCCAGGGGTGTTTTCTGCCTTGTGTTTTTGTCATTTTTCAGTCCGTTCCATTCAATGAGAACTCCCTGTGTTACGGTGACACCTTGGGAATGGGCTACTTCCCCTCCTAGCAACCCATATCACCATCCCAGACCTCAGGAGCCAGGTTTGGGCCAGTGCTGTCTCCTGTCTCTCTTACTTTCATCCTTGTCATTCTCTGCCCCCTGGTCCTGGTATTTAAAGTCCAGGTAGGGAACATTTTGATTGGAGGTGGTTAGATGAGGCTCTCCCCCGACCTCCACCCCTTGCCATCAGTTCACTGGGGGTCTCCAACTTTCCTCTGCAAGGAGCAAGTTGCTACTTTGTTTCCTCTTTTCCCAATTTCTGGACAAGACCAAGGCAATTTGACCAACATTTATGGGGCATCAACTCTGAGAGTGCCGAAGGGGCATTTGCCCTCAAAGAGCTTGCAGTCTAGGGACATAGACACAAGCAATTGCACATGGGCAATTCGTGTTGTGTGCTATTATAACGGTTATGTGTGCAACACTGCCTACCAAGAGACTCATTGTTACTAGGCACGAGGTATCAGGAAAGAAGTGTTCACATGAGCCTTAAGGAATCAGTACAATGTCTTCAGGAGGACCGGAAGAAGGACACCCCAGGTGGAAGGAACAGCAGAAATAAAGGCACAGGGGCATGTGTGGGTGTGGGGTGTTAGAGTGTCCTAGGATCTGATGAGGAGGTTGGGGTCCATGGGGGTAACAGGTGGGAAAACAGCTAACTCTGTTTAAGGTGAATTTATTGCCTGGTGTTGTGTGCCCAGAGCAAATACCCTTTTCAGGAGCAGATACAAAAAGGCTGCCTCTTCTCCAGCAGCTCTTATCTTAATAAAATACAAGTCCAGGCCCTTTGGACCCAAATTAGGCAAAGACTATGGCTGTTTTCCAAATACTTGTTAGTACACAAAAGGTACATGAACTCGCAGTTTGTCTGCATGGCAAACCTTTCTTCACTTTGCTCGGTTTTCATTTTTTTTTTTGAGACAAGTCTCATTCTGTCACCCAGGCTGGAGTGCAGTGGCACGATACCAGCTCGCTGCAGCCTCCGCCTCCCAGGCTTAAGCCATCCTCCCACCTTGGCCTCCTGAACAGCTGGAACTGCCGGTGCACATCACCACGCCTGGCTAATTTTTAAATTTTTTGTAGAGATGAGGTCTTTATTGCTCAGGCTGGCCTTGAACTCCTGGGCTCAAGTGATTTGCCCACCTTGGCCTCCCAAAATGCTGGGATTACAGGAGTGAGCCACTACACCCAGCCTACTCAGCTTTTAAGCTCAACACTCTGCCTACTCTTTTCAAAACTAAAAGTGCCATTAACTTAGCTGTAGCACCTAACTCTCTCGAAATGTATCAGAGGAAATCTAATTAATACTCTCATTTTCTGAATGTTCCCCCCAAAAACAACAAAAACCCCCGTAACCAAAAAGCACTAAGTGGAATTTGAGGCCTCCCCAACCACCCACCAAAAAAGGAGGGTGAAATGAAAGGAATAAGAAAACCTCAGCATTCTGTTCTCTGACAAAGAGTAAAATGACAAGGAATATCGGCCTGAATTCTCTTCCCCAAGAAGAAACCACACCAACGCAGGCATTTGTCTTCTGTCCATGGTGCTGAAGTTTATTCACTTTCAAACCACTTTCAGTAACAGGTGAGGTTCTACCTTAAAATTTAATGCATGGGGTGGGAGAGGCAAGGAAGCCACCATCACACCACTTTATCTACAGTTAGTGTAAGATGTGAGAAGTGTTGACAGGAAGCTGCAGCTTGGATGGGATGATCACAACTCCATGACAACGAGATGACACGAATGCAGGAGAGACCCCAGCGGGCAGGAACCTCTTGCCGTCTGTCCCAAGGCCCAGCCCTCCTTGTGCTCCCTGGCTGTTATCTTCGGTACTACAAAGAGAACACAGACATATCTGGCTTGGTGACCTGGCTGTCTTGGAAAAGTCAGCTTCATGTATGAGTGTGCCCATCCTCTGAACTTGATTACTGACTACCTGCTTCCCACCGGCCCCCACCCCAGCCTGATGACCCTCTGAACTTCATGAATTGATAAGCAAGTTACTCATCAGAGTAAATTTCAATTGAGCCCTTCAGGATCTTGCAATTCTGGGGAGGAACATGAGCTGCTAATCAGCCATGCAAAGATAACTTGGCCCTATGACTATTTTAATTTCCCAGTGCTAGTGGCAGTTGCTGCTGCTTTTTTTTTTTTTTTTTTTTTTTGAGACAGAGTCTCACTCTATCACCTAGGCTGGGCAGAAGCAGCAAGCACAAAGCACCTGAGAT